GCTCAGGGCGTGGTAAAACTGCCCGTTTGGGGCCTTCCCCCTCGCGCGGTCCATCAACAAGGAAAAGCAAGCAGCAAGAAGCAGAACTGTGACAGTGGAAACTGGAAGCTGCAACTGGTACAGGAAACTGTGAACCTTCGGCCTACAGCCTGGTGGCCCCACAAGGGGGCCGTCGGATCTCACCCTATTTCCTGTTACCTCATCCTACCTCTTCGTTGTTGTCCGCCAGAAACAAGAATTACAAACCGACATCCGACGGATTCACGTCGAGTTAACCTCGTACCTCGAGGATCGCCTCGAACCTCGAGCTTCGAGTATCCAGGTTGAAGGCTTTCCCGCCCTGGGAGGCCCTCTACGTCGCAACGGCTGGACGCGGCACAAAAATCCCAGATACGGCAGCCGGAGGCCAGAGGAATGACCCCAAACCAACCGACTGGTTTCACGACGACGATGACGAGGACATGGGGAAATTCTGTACAAAAAGATGGTTCTGTACAGAATTTCCCGTGCGTGATTTTCCGCAGGGTGAGATGCCGACGGCGATGACGAAGATGTCGACGACGACGGCGATGACGACTACGATGAAGATGCTAGCGCGACGAAGACGATGGGTGACGATGACGACGGCGACGATGACGAAGACGACGACCACGACGATCGCGATGTCGCTGGTGATGACGATGACGACGGTAATTGCGATGACAACGAGTATGATGACGACGACGACGATGTCGATGACGAGTACGACGTGACGAGGAAGGAGAATAACATCAGGAGTTGAATGAGGTGGGGGAGGATGAGGGGGGGGGAGGGGGACTATGGCGATTACGACAAATATGACAAGTCTGGCAGGGCGACGACGACAACGATGGTTACGATGATGACGATGATGCGGATGATGGCGATGATGCTGATGATGGTGATGATGATGTCGATACTGGCGGTGATGACGATGATTGCGATGATGATGATGATGATGATGATGATGATGAGGATGAGGATGAGGATGAGGATGAGGATGAGGATGAGGATGAGGATGATGATGATGCTGACGGTGATGATGGTGATGATGATGATGTTGATGATGATGTTGATGATGATGGTGATGATGATGATGGTGATGGTGATGATGATGATGATGATGATGATGATGATGATGATGATGATGATGATGATGATGATGGAGATTGTGGTTGTGATTGTGATGGGAGTGCGGGCGCACGAATGATGCCAGGAGCGTCCTTGTCGTTGCTCTTGCGGACCCCTTCTCTCTCTCGGTGCGCGTGCGCCTCGATAAAACTGCGCTTCGCTCCTCCTCGGGGGGCTCCTTGCTCCGTCGTGCTTTTGCACTGTCTGGGAATGGTTGGCCCTGCCAGTCAGCTCCCTGTAGCAGGAGGAGGAGGAGGAGGAGGAGGAGGAGGAGGAGGAGGAGGCTCCCGCCGCCAGCCCAAGGCCTTGTTACAATCGTGTCACCATTCTGTCGAATGCTGTAGCCGTTCAGGGACTTGAATGTGTGTTTGCACATAGCATATGCTGTTAATATACATACATATATATATATATATACATATATAATGTATTTACAGTTCCCGTGAGGACTCTGTTATGTTCACGAGGATATAGCCAAAGTGAAACAAGTCTTACTGCTGGCGCAGTTCCCCGCCCCAGCTCTAAAGCAACATGATGATGATGATGCTGATGATGATAATGCTGGTGTTGCTAATGATGATGATGATGATGATGATGAGGATGATGGTGATGATGATGATGATGCTGATGATGATGATGAGGAGGATGAGGATGATGGTGATGATGATGATGATGATGATGACGATGATGATGATGATGATGATGATGATGATGATGATGATGATGATGATGATGATGATGATGATGATGATGATGCCGACGATGGTGATGCCGACGACGGTGCCAACGACAACGACGGTGGCGACGATCATTGTGATGGAGATTGCGATGCTGACGACGACGGCGATGACGAGTGCAGGGGGAACTCCTTTTGTACAGAATTTCCCTTTTTGGGGTTTTCGAGGGGTTGGAGATCGCGGCTCGAGGGTTTAGGTATCGGCTCGGATCGATTTTCGAGGACAAAGGCTCATCGAGAACCGAACAATGAGTTATTGGCCAAGATTTGATTGGATACGAGGTTTTGAGTTGGATCGAGGATCCGGTTCCGATCAGGTTTTTGGCGATGTTCGAAGGACGAAGATTGGTGTGTTGACGAGGATCGACGCTCAAGGTCTCGCTTTTACGGGGAACCCGAGGCCAGGGGGACATTCAGATTGACTGCGACATGGCGTAACTAGGGTCACCGAGGAAAACTGAGGCCCACTGAGGTAACAGGGAAACTAGGTGGAATTGGGGCTAGCTAGGTGTAATTGGAGTTAACTAGGTGTAACTGGGGTACTAGGCGTAACTAAGTGTAGCTGGAAGCGCTCTTATGGCGTTTGCTGCGACGCTCGTTGCCGGCACATTGGGGATTGGAATCGTATTTGGGCAGGAGAAGGGTAGCATGGGTGATGATGGCCATTATCGGCTCAGCGGGGACAGATTACATCACGGTGCTTTTCATGCCACATGCAGCTCGCGGATAGAGCGTGCCCAGGACGAATGCGCTCGGCAAACGCGGAGCAATGCCCGCGAGCCCCTTTCCTCCAGCCCCGACAGGATCTACTCGGACATCCCCATGCCTTCTCCCCCAGGACTGCACCATGCAGGGCAAAAGTCCTGGCATCGCTCGGACGTGTGCATTTTTTCTCGGCGAGGACCCTGGAGGGGCATCCTGGATCATCGAGCAAACAAAAGAACACACGAAACCGAAAAAAGCACAGGGAATGGACGTCCGAGCGATGGCAAGAAGTTCGGGACTCCCTGGATCGTTCTGGAACGTCGGGCCACCGGCCCCCGATCGTCTCCCAACAGAAGCTCGACCCGACGGAATACCCCCCCTCCCGTCGTGCCGATGTTCGTTGCCGATTCGCTTGAGCATTGGGGCGTTGCGTATGATTCGGAGGTTGATAGACCTCCTACCCTGACACGTCGATGAAGGAATTGGCCGTTTTCGGTTCGCGAGAGAGCGTCGCGGCCGTCATTTTTGCGGGTCCAGGTCCGTCGGTTTCGGTCCTAGGCCGTTTTCGCGAAGGGGAGGTTTACTAAAGGGAGCTTTGGCCACCGCCGAATGATTCGTTGCGTTGCCCGAGAGTCCTGAAGACGGGCACCCGCTAGTACGGCTGAAGGCTGCTAAGACGATTTTGGCTGAGCAGGCCGGCCTTGCCCGCGCGCGGATGAACGCGGACGCGCGCGCGCCGGCGCTGAGTGGCGCCATTGGACTGTGCACGCGCTCCGCGGTGCGAGGCGTTGGAAGCTCCCGCGCGCGTCGCCGAAACGCGCAACTGAGCCCCCGCAGCTGCGCGAGCACGCTCGCGAGCTCCGGGAAGCCACTGCCCAGGAGACCCCGCATGGTTCGGAGGCCCACGTCGCCGAGAATCGGGAGGAGGGGGCGCGGCATCAGGAGCGGGTGGCCAGGCGGAGGGGGGAGCAGGAGATGCGGGGGTCAGCTCCGTCGTTGCGTTTCCCTTCCAGGTGTTCTCGGAGAGGATGGGGATTCCTCGCCGCCTGCCCGATGAATCTGGCGCTGCGTTGGGCGCATACCGGGGGCAGATCTTCAAGCGCGCGCCTGAGGACAGGACCAGCTGGGACAAGGTTGCCCAGCTTATTCCCGATGTCCCTGCCGATGCCGCCTACATGTCCTGTGGATACGAGCACTTTTGACGATGTGATGCCTGGTCGGGCAACATTGGCTCCAGGCTGGGCGGCCCCCCCCCGTGCCCGTTTGCTATCTACCCGTTCGTTTCAGATATTACGCAACGCGCGCGCACATTCCTGTCACACCCTCAGAATTGAGATGCCGCCCAGTGCGCGGAAAATGCTTCTCGGTTTCCCCCCAAAGGGCACGTGCCCGCTGGATTCCGTCTCTGCATCCGCCCGTGCACCAGCTTTCGCGCGGCCGCTCGCACTCTCGAGCACGCATTGCACATGCCTGTCGCTCGCCGCGTCGTCGCCGCTCTGTTCAATTGCTGCCGCCGCCGTCCTCGGCACTCGCGGCGGGGCACGGGGGAGGGGACGCGACGACGAATGCGGCGGGGGCCGAGGGTTGATGGCAGCGAGCATGCTGCCGAGCAGCTGACTGCTTTCTCAGCCGCGCCCTCGTTGGATCTCGCCAGCTGGGTCGTTGTTGCCCCGACACAAATGGGCCCCCCCCAGTCGCCGTCGTCTCTTTTTCTTTCCAGCAGCTTCATCCCGATGACAGATGCTGGGTTAATCTGGGCGGGCGTCGGTTGGCGCAGATCCTCGCTTGTGATTGGTTCCTGGGACTCATTAGCGCTGCTCCCCGTTCCACTCCTGCCGCGCTGCTCATATACGCAAGTTTTTGCGACGTGTTTGTTCATGCGCGCACAAGCGCGCGGTTGGGCAGCACAGCGACTGTCCGACAAGATTTTCAGGCCAGTCTCCGACTGGATTCGAGGAGGCACTTTCCCGTTCGAGTCGCCCAGAGCGGCAGCAGACAAAACGGAAACCTCGGGGAAGCGGGGGTTATCAAAACAACATCATCAGCATCGCCATTGCCATCGTCGTCACATTCGTCATCATCACCACCATCACCGCCACCATCATCACCACCACCATCGTCATCATCGACAGCACCATCGCCCCCATCACCATCATTGCCACATCATGATCCTCAGTATCAGCATCACTAGCATGCCCAGCTCCATCATGGTCCTCAGGACGGTCAGGTTGCCGGAGTTTGATGTCATACCTTTGTGGGGTTACTCCAGAGTTCGGGTACTCCACTTTCACCTTCTTCTTCTTCTCCACCATCGCCATCGCCATCGCCATCACCACCACCACCATCACCGTGTTCCTGTTCGTCCCGTTCCTCCCTCCCTCTGCTCCCCGCGCAGCGGCGAGCGGCGGAGGTCGACCCCAACCACGCCGACGAGCGCGGCCGCTCCGCCCTGGCCGTCGCGGCCCTGCGGCGGCACGTGGAGGCGACCTCCCCGGGGGCGCCAAGGGGCCTGCGCGCTGTCGTGGAGGGGCAGTGCTCGCTGTCAGAGGCAACGATCGGGCGGGGGGAGAGGCCGAAGTCGGGCACATCCCTCCACAAGGGGGGGGTACCCCAACAAGACGTCCAAAAGTGGTCCGGGGATGACTTTTCTAGTGCTCTCGATTTGCTGTACGCATTCGTCGGCTATGTGTTGGTTTCCTGCCAGCTTCCGCCCGTCGGAGGACGTGCCCGAGCTAAGGATAGGCTCGGGGGGGGGGTCGCATCGACCTCCAGTCGCTCCGTGATCGCCGACAGGAGGCCCGATGCCCCCGCCCAGGAGCGTGCGGATTCGCTATCAGGGGCCTACAGTCGGGGCGCTGAAGAAGGAACCGTTTTCGTTGGGGAGGGGCTCGGTGTTCCTTCATTGTTTCAGAGTTTTGTCTCGGGTTTTCCTGAGGTTTTCCATCGGACATCGAGGTTGAACTTATGGGAAAAAGGGGCCTCGTTCCTTATTTAGGGTTCCTTAGGTCAACACCCCGACTGTATCGCCCATTTATCGGCGATTGATCGCCGCTTCCAGGTCGATGTGCCGCCCCTCCGCCAGTCCCCCCCCCGTAAACGTTGCCTCTCAGCCGTTTGAGCGTTCGAGATTCGGTTGTTCGTACGCTTCGGGGGGGATTCCCTGAGGCTTTCTAGCCTGAGGCATGGGAAGGCGGGGCCGCGCTGCAGTCGCAGCACATGCCACGCGTTGCCGTTCCGTCCTTGTGTGTGAATGGCACTTCAAGGCAGCAGGTTCATGGCGGGCCAAGACGAGCGCCCCCCCCCTGGGCAACTTTGACTCGACCCTTCTGGCCTCGGCCGGGCGGGCGCGTGCGCGATGCCATGGCCCAGAGTGACCTTGACCAGGCATGGCGGTGGAGTATCAAGAAGCATTCCTCCCCCATTACAGTCAAGGCGCTGAAATAAGGAACGGCATGGATTCGGAAGGGGCTCGCTGTTTCTCGCTGTTCCTCCAGCCCTCCTCGCGCCGAGGGGCTTCATTCCTTACTGCGCGCGGCAGGAACAGCATGGAATAGCATGGATTCGGAAGGGGCTCGCTGTTCCTCAGGTCCTGCCATGGCTGTTCCTCCGGCCCTCCTCGTGAACGAAGGCGGTTTTTGGGGGCCAAAGAGGGGACTCATTCCTTATTCCGCGTTCCTGATGTCAGCGGCCCGACTGAAGGCGCGTGGCAAGCGCTTCCTGGCCCAGCCGGCGCCAGGCCTGCACGAGCGACGCGCCGCCGTCCGCGCGGGCGTGGCCGCGCGCGGCCGCGGCCGCCGCGGCGGCGCGGCCGCCACCGAGGGGGGGCGCGCCCGCGGGCCAGGTGATTATGTTCCGTGATGTGTTGACTCTTGTTTGCCTATGTGTTGACGATGTGTGCTTGGCGTCCAAGATCCGCCCGTAGGAGGACATGCCCGACCTAAGCCTTGACCTGTGGTTCCTTTTTTTTGTATCGGGCCCTGGCAGATGTTGGCTGCCTGGAGGGTTTCTCCGAAGGTCTTAGAGGGCCCGTCCTCATCCTCCTCCTCCTCCTCCTCCTCCTCCTCCTCCTACTCCTACTCCCACTCCTACTCCTCCTCCCATTTCTACTCCTACTCCTAATCTTACTCCTGCTCCCTCCTCCTTCCTCCTCCTCCTCCTCCTCCTCCTCCTCCTCCTCCTCCTCCTCCTCCTCCTCCTCCTCCATCTCCTCCTCCCCTCCCTCTCCTCCTCCTCCTCCTCCTCCTCCTCCTCCTCCTCCTCCTCCTCCTCCTCCTCCCCTCCTCCTCCTCCTCCTCCTCCTCCTCATCTCCTCCTCTTCCCCCTCCCCCTCCCCCTCCCCCCCCCTCCCCCTCCCCCTCCCCCTCCCCTCCTCCTCCTCCTCCTCCTCCTCCTCCTCCTCCTCCTCCTCCTCCTCCTCCTCCCCTCCTCCTCTCCCCCTCCCCCCCTCCTCCTCCTCCTCCTCCTCCTTCCTCCCTCCCCTCCTCCTCCTCCTCCCTCCTCCTCCTACTCCTCTCCTCCTCGATCGCCTCCTCCTCCTCCTCCTCCTCCTCCTCCTCCTCCTCCTCCTCCTCCTCCTCCTCCCTCCTCCTCCTCCTCCTCCTCCTCCTCCTCCTCCTCCTCCTCCTCCTCCTCCTCCTCCTCCTCCTCCTCCTCCTCTCCTCCTCCTCCTCCTCCTCCATCCTCCTCCTCCTCCATCCTCCTCCTCCTCCTCCTCCTACTCCTCCTACTCCTCCTACTCCTACTCCTCCTCCTCGATCGCCTCCTCCTCCTCCTCCTCCTCCTCCTCCTCCTCCTCCTCCTCCTCCTCTTCCTCCTCCCCCTCCTCCTCCCCCCCCTCCTCCTCCTCCTCCTCCTTCTTTTTCTCCTCCTCCTCCTCCTCCTCCTCCTCCTCCTCCTCCTCCTCCTCCCCTCCTCCCTCCTCCTCCTCCTCCTCCTCCTCCTCCTCCTCCTCCTCCTCCTCCTCCTCCTCCTCATCCTCCTCCTCCTCCTCCTCCTCCTCCTCCTCCTCGGGTCGCCGACGGCCCCCGGGTAAACCGCGCATGGCTGCCCTTCGCGAGGCGCCTCCTCAGGAGCCGCCTCCCGCGGCGAGCACAGCCGCCTCCCCCCCTCGGTGGGCCGCTGGAGCGCGCGAGGGCAGAGCCGCGCGCCTCGCGAGCCACGGGTCTCTGCCAACCCAGACATCCTCGAGCAAGGAAAAATCACGACGGGAGGTTTTTCAAGATTTTCGGCCCCTGGGGGCCCTTGCCGGGCCTCGGGACCGTCACAAAACGACTCGGGATGACAAAGAAGTCCTGGGGAATAGCTTCAGACCTCCGGGGGTCGACGTTATTGAAAAATCATGACGTCTTGGGTCTGGGAACGCGGCTGCCCGTGTCCAGCGGGCGAGGCGCCGAGGCGCGAGGGCGCGAGGATGCGGTCGCCTCAGGCCTCGCCCTTTCCCCCCCTCCCCCGAAAGGAGCCCCTCTGGGGCGCCAAAGGGGGCCCCTGCAGGCCCCCAAAAGTGCACCTTCCTCCCCTCCACGTAATTATATCTCCCCCCATTCATTACGGGGCTGCGCGCCGCAACAGACCACGGGCTTTTCGTCGGGGCTCCCTGAGTGTCTTCGCTCCGCGCGTTTGCGCGGGGACTTCTTCCCGCGGCCGTCACAGGAGCTGCTGCGTTCAGGGTGCTCCGGGGCTCCCCTGAGGTGCACCTCGCGCGCGGGTTCCCTGCGAGGGTTTTTCGTTCGACCGCGCTTGCACCGCAACCGCGCTCCGCATATCGCGGGGCTCGACGCGCGACGTGAGGTAACATGGCCTCCCAGACCGCCAACGTCACGAGTTGTTCGTGACGTGGACCTCCAGAGGTCTCGACCCCTTCCCCAGGACCGGTGTTTCATCCCCGGGGCCCAGCGAGGACCCTCGGAAGCCGAAACTATCGAGAGACCTCTCGTCGTGACCCCGCGCCCCGTCGCCCTGGCAGGCATCACACACGCAGCACCAAGCATGGCAATGTTCTCTTGACCAGGCTGCAGGATGGCAATACAGTGACCGGCTTCAGTAAGGAACACTTGCTTTTCAAAAGGGGCTCGGTCGTTCCCTAGGCTTGCATGCGTTATCCATCGTTCCGCATGCGTTTTTCATTATTCATCGTTCCTTATGCATTGTTCCTTGGAAAACAAAAGGGCTTCCTTCCTTATTTCTCGTTCCTTAGGTCAGGCCGATGGCTGTATCCTCCCTCCTCTTCCTGCTCGTGCTGCCCGCGGTGTTGCCCGGATGCCGCGCCGAGCGCTGCTGGCCGCCCACGTTTTTGCCCACGCGCCTCGTGGCGCACGGCCTGCTCGTTCGCTCGACGGGGCCCGGGCCTCGGCGTGCCGACGTTCGGCCACGCGCAGAGGGGGGGGGGGGGACAGGGGGAGGGGAGGGGAAGGCTCCTCGGAAGCACCCCCTGCCTCTCAGACGGCGCGGGCCTCGTCTGCAGCTGTGGGGCCCGCGCCTCCTGAGAAGCAGCCTCCCTTGGAGAGGGCCTCCCCCCGCGCGCCTCCAGCTGCAGGGCCCCCGTGCGCGCCGCCAGCGACCGTCGGCGCCCGGCCTCGCAGGCGCCCGGGGCGCGCCCGCGCCCGCGCAGCCTCCGCGCAGCCTTCAGGGCGTTCCGGAACGCCCTGAGGAGGCCGCGGCGCCCGAGACGTCCTGAAGAGCCGCCAGCTCTCAGAGGTTCCCGGTTCGTCCCCACCCGGATGGATCCTCGTCCCGGCTCCGTCTTTCTAGGCCTCCTAGATGGGGTCGGAGTAGATGGGGTCGGAGGATCGCGCCGCATCCCCGATGCATCGGCGATACGGCTCGGTGCGGAGCCACGATTTTCTCCACGCTGACGTTGCCAGTGCGTCGCATCGCCGATGCATCGGCGATGCCGTGCAACCCTCCGATCCCATCTACTCGGACCCCATTTAGGAGGCCTCTAGTCTCTTTAAGGGCCCCGCTTTACTGGCCATAGCTCCTGCTGCCCGCACCGATGGGGGGTTTCGTGCGGCAGGGAGGAGCTACTTTTCGGACCAGGCGTATAGTTACCGTGTCCGTGGCACGACCGCCTCGCTGGATCCCCTCAAGTCTATTTCTCGTGCTGGCTGTGCGGCCGCGAAGCGAAGTCTGGGAGGCCTCTGGCCTGCCGCCTCGGGCGGGCCCCCGCCCCGCCCGCGCCCCAGGCCTGCGAGGTCCTGCTCGCCTACGGGGCGGACCCGCGCGGAGTGTGCGCCCGCCCGCCCCGCGCGCGCCGCCCGCCCTCTCGGCCCCCCCCGCGCGCGCCGCCGACGACCGTCGGCGCCTCGGCCGCCCCAAGCCCCCGTCTCTGGGCATCGCTCGGACGCGTGCATTGTTTCTCGGCGAGGACCATCGAGGACCATCCTGGACCGTCGAGCAAACAAAAACACGCGCACGAAACCGGAACATGCACGGAAAATGGACGTCCGACGAGGACCATCCTGGACCATCGAGCAACAAAAAAACACGCCCACGAAACCGACAAATGCACGGGAGATGGACGTCCGAGCGATGGCAAGGTCTGAGAAGCAGGGGTGCTTCGAAGAAGCCCCCCCCCCCTCAGCCCCCCGCTGGCGCGCCGCCAGCGCCCGCCGCTGGGCGCACCGCGCCAGGTCGGCCGGTCCGCTTGCTCGGGGAACGAACGTCCGAGCGATGGCGAGGGAACGGGATGCGCAGGGCGGCCGCGGAAAGGAGGGAGCGAAGGGCGGCCACCCCGGTCCGTACAGCTCCGCAGGGGGGGCCTGCTGCGGCCCAGGCTCGAAGGAGTAGGGCACGCAGATTGCGAACAGGACGTCCAGAAAGAGGACTACATAGATTAGTCACGTTTCGCGTGTCCCCAGCAGCCCGGGCTTCAATTACTTCGCCATTTTGGCTTGCATCCTGGCCAGCACCTTGGTCTTCGTCGGTTCCGGCGTGTCCTACCTGTTCTTCAGCGTCGGCTTCGCCCTCTGAGCCGCAGCGTAGTTCGCCCCTGCGCGTTTAGTGCCTAATGTACTCCGCTGCTCGTTAACCGCGTTTCGACTTGACGCCGAGCGATGTGTCGCTACGGTCGCGATCAATTATGCTAACGGAGTTCCCCACATAAAGAGATTAACGGTTTCGTGGGACCCATTTTCTTGATGCCCTCCTCGCTCAGGCGGGGCCTCCCTGGAGGTGTGGGAGGGGCACGAAACCATGTAAATAGTATGGTATTCCGATACCCTCCTCGCTCAGGCGGGGCCTCCCTGGAGGTGTGGGAGGGGCACGAAACCATGTAAATAGTATGGTATTCCGATACCCTCCTCGCTCAGGGGGCCTCCCTGGAGGGGTGGGAGGGGCACGAAACCATGTAAGTAGTATGGTATTCCGATACCCTCCTCGCTCAGGCGGGGCCTCCCTGGAGGGGTGGGAGGGGCACGAAACCATGTAAATAGTATGGTATTCCGATACCCTCCTCGCTCAGGCGGGGCCTCCCTGGAGGGGTGGGAGGGGCACGAAACCATGTAAATAGTATGGTATTCCGATACCCTCCTCGCTCAGGCGGGGCCTCCCTGGAGGGGTGGGAGGGGCACGAAACCATGTAAATAGTATGGTATTCCGATACCCTCCTCGCTCAGGCGGGGCCTCCCTGGAGGGGTGGGAGGGGCACGAAACCATGTAAATAGTATGGTATTCCGATACCCTCCTCGCTCAGGCGGGGCCTCCCTGGAGGGGTGGGAGGGGCACGAAACCATGTAAATAGTATGGTATTCCGATACCCTCCTCGCTCAGGCGGGGCCTCCCTGGAGGGGTGGGAGGGGCACGAAACCATGTAAATAGTATGGTATTCCGATACCCTCCTCGCTCAGGCGGGGCCTCCCTGGAGGGGTGGGAGGGGCACGAAACCATGTAAATAGTATGGTATTCCGATACCCTCCTCGCTCAGGCGGGGCCTCCCTGGAGGGGTGGGAGGGGCACGAAACCATGTAAATAGTATGGTATTCCGATACCCTCCTCGCTCAGGCGGGGCCTCCCTGGAGGGGTGGGAGGGGCACGAAACCATGTAAATAGTATGGTATTCCGATACCCTCCTCGCTCAGGCGGGGCCTCCCTGGAGGGGTGGGAGGGGCACGAAACCATGTAAATAGTATGGTATTCCGATACCCTCCTCGCTCAGGCGGGGCCTCCCTGGAGGGGTGGGAGGGGCACGAAACCATGTAAATAGTATGGTATTCCGATACCCTCCTCGCTCAGGCGGGGCCTCCCTGGAGGGGTGGGAGGGGCACGAAACCATGTAAATAGTATGGTATTCCGATACCCTCCTCGCTCAGGCGGGGCCTCCCTGGAGGGGTGGGAGGGGCACGAAACCATGTAAATAGTATGGTATTCCGAGACCCTCCTCGCTCAGGCGGGGCCTCCCTGGAGGGGTGGGAGGGGCACGAAACCATGTAAGTAGTATGGTATTCCGATACCCTCCTCGCTCAGGCGGGGCCTCCCTGGAGGGGTGGGAGGGGCACGAAACCATGTAAGTAGTATGGTATTCCGATACCCTCCTCGCTCAGGCGGGGCCTCCCTGGAGGGGTGGTACGGTGTGGCATTGGTGTGATATGGTATGGTATGCTATGGTACGCCATGGTATGGTATGGTACGGTATGGTACGTATGGTGTGGTATGGTATGGTATGGTATGGTATGTGTGGTAGGAACTATGGTATGGTATGGTGTGTTGAAGCGGGAGGTGGGTGGGAAGGAGAGGGTGTTTTGGGAAAACAATAACCCCACTCAGGATGTGGGGAAAAAGAAGTATCCCCACCAGCCCATTCAGAAACGGTGCCGATGAGAGCTGATCTTCTTGGGCCCTCTTGTGGTCCTCTCTGGGCTCTCTCGGGGCCCTCTTGGCCCCCCCATCGGGGCTCGTTCGGGGGGTCTCGGGCCCCTCTTGGACCCGTCTTCGGAGCCCCTCGGGGACCCTGGAGGGCCGTCTTGGACGCCGAGGGGTGGTGGTCCTTTATTAGCCCCCCCGTAAGAGCCCTCTGAATCGTTTCGTGGGGCCCTCTTGGGGCGCTATTGGGGCGTCGTTGGGCGCTCCTGGGGCCGTCTAGGAGACATCGTGGGGCCCTCCGGTGCTCTTTCGGGCCACATTTGGGGGCATCTTGAAACCCCATGGGCTCATGGGGTGCGAGAAGGCGAGAAGGCTGATGACAATGATGTTCCTCAGGCGTTTGAAGGATTTAGAACTATTGGGGGGGATCCTTTTGTGGCTCCAAGGGCACTTGGAGGCGTCGTGTGGCCATCTTGGGGTTTCTTGGAGGTATGTCGGAAACTACCTGGGGGCCCCACCGGGGCATCGTATGCCTTTTTGAAGCCATCTTGGTCGGAACAATTGCACGTCCGCCCCCTCTCCCATCCAGACCCTTGGGGAGGAGTCGGGAAAAGGATCACGACACGCCCACCCGCCCTCCCAACCCACAAGTAGCATCCCAGTCCCAGCGTGCTCCGCGGTCGTCTTTGGATGGGCAGATACTGGGAACCAGCACCGAGCCCAGGTGCGCGACGCTGGGGCGAGGTGCGCCACGCGTGCCAGGCGCGCCACGCGCACCAGGCGCCCCCGCGGCCCAAGCGTACCATGCACACCTGGTGAGCCTGCTGTGCCATGTGCGCCAAGTGCACCGCATGCTCCAGCCGCGCAAAGTGCGCCGCGGTCCGGGCACGCGCAGAGTGTGCCAGGTGCGCCCGCGAGCATCAGGAAACATGCCGGTTGTCACCATCCTTCGCGGAAGCCAATGAACAATCACACCAGGTTGGCTTTTATTATTTATGGTGGGCCTGCGCACAGCAGGCAATGTGCCAGCACACCCGCCGTCCTTGCCGACAGCCATGCAACGTGGTCGCGGGATGCCCTCGCATGATACAGATTTAGCCGCGTAGTTTGCAGTGATTTGTTGACAGGGATGGCGGCATTTCGCACAGGAGGCCATGTGCTGGCACCTCCGCTGCCCCTTCTCCACAACAAAAAGCTCGCGAGGCCCCTTAGGCATGACCCTAGATTTTGCCCCGCCACCTGTATTTTCCACTGTGTGTTGGCAGGGATGGCAGGAGGGGCTGCGTGGCACGATGCTGGCAACACGTCGGCACCCCTGCCGCCCCTGTCGAAGCCCACGCAGAAGTGGCCGCGGGGCGCCCGCGCGTGCTCCGGATCTGCAGGCAAGGCGTGCTTTTCGAGCGTCTGCTCGACAAGGAGGGGGGGGGGGCTCGGCTCCTGGCTTGGCATCGCTCGGACGTGTGCATTTTTTTCTCGGCGGGATCCATCGAGGACCATCCTGGACCATCCAGCAAAAAAACACGCACGAAACCGAAACATGCACAGTTTGGACGTCCGAGCGATGGCGAGCTGGGCCGGGGGTTGGCTGACAGTCGGGCGCGGGGGGGGGGGTTCTGCACAGGGAGCAGTGGCACACCCTTCTCCAGAGGGGGGAGGAGGGGGGCTGTGAGAGAGGAAGGGATCTGTCGTCAGACCACCTCCGCCCAGAGGGCTGGCGGGATGCCCTCGCACGCTTTTCTCTGATTCGCTTCCTCGTTGCCAGTAAATCTTCGAGCCTCGGGGTAAGCTCTGGAAGCTGCGCCTTCGCCCCGAGCGGCCAGTGGAGGCCCAAGTCATGGCCCGCATGCCGAGTCCTAGCCCAGACATCGGCTACACAGAACACAGGGTCCATTCCTGATCGATCGGACTCAATGTCGGTTCCCGACCGGTTCCATGCCATTCGATCCCCATGTTTCGGCGATCCCGTTGCCGACCGATGCTCGCATGGCGTTGTGCGGCATCCGGCGTGACCAACCCGATTCGATATCGATTCCGTGCCGACGCAGACCGACATGATGCAAATTGCGATGTGATCCGCTTCCATGATTCGCTGTCGACTGATCCTGCCCTGGCTGGGCTCGGTGGGGGACCACCTGTCGATGTAGAGCCCCTCAGTCAGAGGGGGAACAGCTACCGATACCGCCACCCTTGTCGCCACTGCTGGATTCTCGGGCTGGACGAAAGGGGGGGATAGGGAAAGGGGGGGTTACGAAATCTGCTGCATGCAGCTTGTTTCGGCCCCACCGAGGGGCCCATTCCTCGATACATGGCCGCGCTCCGGGAGGCGCTGGGAAAATTAGCTACGCGAGCTGATTCTCAACCCCCCTCTTTGCTATACCCCCCTTTCGCCCAGCCCGAGATTCGCGTCGAAATCCTGGTCAGAACGCACACCAGGAGAGGCCCACGGAGGCGGCATCGTCGGCTGCACGCAAGAGTGACCTTTCTGCCAGAGTGACTTTTGGTGATGGCCCCAGTGGCAGGGCTCATTTCGATTCCTCAGATTCGATTCGATTTCGATGGCCTCCGATTCCGATTCCGATTCGACTTGGGATTCCGATCTGGATTCCGATTTCCCGTGAAGGTCCACCGGCCTGCCGATCTCTGCCGATTCGACTTCTCCTGGCTTGGCTGCCGATTTCCGCTGATCCGATCCATTTCGATCGCCGAGCCGACTCGTCGGTTCGGTTCTGGGCTCCACTGCAAGGGGGGTCAAAAAAACACAACAAAACATACACAAAAACATACAAAAAACACACTGTGTGTGTTTGTTGTGTGTTTGTTTATGTTGTTTGTGGTGTTTGTTGCTTGTTTTGTGTGTGTGTTTTCCCACAGGCATTTGTCTCTGGGACTGCGCTGGGACTCGCGTCGGCGCACGCAGCGCCGGGCTGCGCGCGCGCCTATCGGAACCTGGGCGGGGGCCGGCAAGCCCGTGGCTGCTGGAGCGGAGCTCCAGGAGCTTGTTTTTTTTTCCTTCCGGGAAGCAGCCCCTTCACTCAGAGCGTGAATTGCCTACCCCGCTTTCGCTTCCAGGCAAAACCAAGTCATACCACGCGCCTCCTCGTCAAGCGGCCTGACCAGTACAGGCCGTAGTTTGGCATCGCTTGGTATTTCTTGGAAGCGATGGTGGTCAAAAGCGAGGTAGGCTTGTTTTCCCCCTATTCACCACTATCGGGCTGGGCGAAAGGGGGGGATTGGGAAAGGGGGGGTTACGAGATCTGCTGCACGCAGCTGGTTTCGGCCCCAACGAGGGGCCCATTCCTCCATACATGGTCGCCTCCCGGCGTGAGCGTTTTGTCGTTCGCCTCCCGGCGTATCGAGACTCACGCCTCCCGGCGTGAGCCTCGACACATGGTCGAAAATCAGCTACGTGAGCTGATTCTCAAACCCCCCCTTTGCTATCCCCCCCTTTCGCCCGGCCCGATACTGCCGCGCGCTGAGCTTCCTCCTGGAATCTGCGCTTCTCTTCCGGGAAGGCCGTGTCAGCAGCCACGGGCTTGCCGGCCCTCGCCAAGCTTTTCCGAGCCCGAGCGCACCCAGGCAGTCGGGGGCCCCCGCTTGCAGTCGACCGCAGCGCCTCCTGCCGTGCCTCCTGCTGCAGCGCGCGCAGTGGTTTCCCGAGGGAGGGGCCCGGTCGACCGAGCTGCGTGCTCTCTGCCCCAGGACCGGTCCGACGTCGGCCGCCGCAAAGAGTTCATCCAGGGGCGAGGATAGGGGGGGGATGGGCATAGGGGGGGACGCATCGACCCCCAATCGCCCATGGGACGTTTCGAGGCGCGTCCCAACCACAGCTGACGCGATGCGTCAGCAGCGACTTTCGCGGTTGCGTCGGACACCCACGGGCCCTTCACAAGCCGCCCACCGAAGGTCACTCTTGCTTAAGGTTCTTGAGTGCAACCGACCTTGGCATTTTTTCCCAACCATCCTGTGGTGATGGGTCCTCCCTCATTTAGAAGAGACGGCGCCCCGCGTTCCTTCCTTCCTCTTCTCCTCCTCCTCCTCCGCCTTCTCCCGCTCCTCCCTTCAACCTCCGTCCTCATCATCATCATCATCATCATCATCATCATCATCCTTATCATCACCATCATCCGTAGCCATTTTGGCTCAAGGGCACGGATCGGTGATCGATCGCTTTTTAGCGTCGTTCGGCGATGTATCATTTCGTGAGGACCATGACTGGGAAGAACGTCGGAACCCGCCCGCAGGATAGCGACGCAGAAGCTGCGGTCCCTCCAGATCAGCAACTTTTTTTCCGTGCAGGCAGGCATGCTAAGGGTGACTTGGCTGTTAGTTTGCAAAGCGGATTACGTATGAGGAGGCATTCATGTTGTTCTTTCTTTGGCGGACGGGTCGCCAGTGTTGCCGCAGTGGCTGTTACTCTGGTAGTGACCATTGTCTTCAGTGTGGTAGCCGTTCGCAAACGGAGTGTTTCTCGCACCGAGCCAGTCAGGTTCAACATACTTAGTCTCACGGAAGGTTCCAGCCTTGGAGCAGCAGTGTGCGTCGTGGGCCAAGCGACGCGGTTGGAGATTGAGAGTAAGATACAGAACATTATCGATCCGTTCGCCAATGTTACACATGTAGATGTTTTCTTGTCTCTGGAGATTGACGATCACGCAGTCTTCAACAACCCTATAACGGTTGATGTCGACGGCGCTAAATGCCGCGGATCGGAGTTGGATGTGGATGGGTTGAAGGAAGCGTTTGCGCCGTATTTCAGAGACGGAGTGTTCGGGCCACACGTGGACGAGAACGTCATTTTGGAGAGGTGGCCGAAGCTGTACAAGAGACAGCACCCCGATGACGACGCAAAGCGGAGGACTCATATTGCCAACGTCGCCAGCCAGTTGAGGCACCAGAAGGATTGCGCGGAGCTTATTCAAAAGAGCGAGGAGTCTGCAGGCGGTAAATACGACATTGTGGTGAAGGTCCGTGACAACACCATCGCGTTGCGGCCTGTGGCGCCAGACAAGCTGTTATCAATCACAGAAGTCGTCCTCAAGCATTGCAATTGGTGGGGTGGCGTTCACGATAAAGTCATGGCCCTCCCACGCAAGTATCTCGAGAAGAGTTTGGGTGCCACATATGATGCCATGCAAGCCGTCATGTACGATGATCCCCTGCCACGTCGGCTACGGGCAATGTCAAAGCAGTCCCACAATACGGAGCAGATTGTTATGTTTACGCTCACATCAAATCTAGTTCCTTTTGTTGAAAAGAATTTCGAGATAGGAGACCGAGATGGTGGCGATTATTTGCCATTCGTGGACGGCAGGTGCTATCCTGGCAAGGAGCCTGGAGACGAAGGTCGCTGGTGCATCGTTTCTCACTGCAAGGACTGCTGGCCGAGCATGCCCTGGACGTACAACGTCTCCTGCGAGGTAGCTAGGACTGGTCTGGAGGTTGGCAGTTATCAGCCAAATCTGTCCTCGCAGTTCGACAAGTCTTTTGATGAGCAGACGCTCGCAGATCCCGACCCGACGCGGGAGTGCGCGAATCCCCTCTACAGGTGACAGGGCGCGTGCCGTGGAACTTGGAGGCCGAGGTGTGGCGATGCGTGGCGTTGCGGCGAGGGTGCGCAAGGGCTACCGCTCCAGCTGCGCCCCTGCCTCGTGCATGAAACTGTGAGTGTTGCGTGTTCCAGGTGTCGCTGCTGCAAGACATTGCACGTTAGATTGGTTCTCTAGGTGCATGGGGTCACATGGGAGCCAGAGGAACTTCTGCGAACCTCTTCGACCAGCCTCGCAAAGCCGAGCGCCGAACTGGGAGCGATTGATCCGGCAGCACATCCTTATCAACACCATCATCATCATCATCATCAGCATCATCATCATTATCATCATAATCATCAGCAGCAGCAGCAGCAGCATGAGCATCATCATAATCATCATCATCAGCATCACCACCATCACCACCATCATCATCACCATCATCATCATCAACATCGCCACAATCACAATCATCATCATCATCATCATCATCATCATCATCATCATCATCATCATCATCATCATCATCATCATCATCATCATCATCATTACCATCATCACCATCACCATCCCATGCGTCCGTGCCATCCATCTCAGCCCATCTTTCACAAGGTTCGTGGCCCCAGTTTACATGCGTCCCCGCCGACTAATTCGGCACCCCCCCCCCGCACGCGGTTCGTGACCCCATGGCAAGCTCCACCGAAGGCCGCAGCGGTGCAGTTTACATGCGTCCCCGCCACACATTCGGCACACCCGTCACACGGGGCGTGGCGCCATAAGGAGCTCCACCGAAGGCCCCAGTGGTGCAGTTGACATGCGTCCCCGCCACCAATTGCGGCACACTTTTCACGTGCTTCGTGGCCCCATACGGAGCTCCACCGAAGGCCCCAGTGGTACAGTTTACACGGGTCCCCTCCAATCATTTCGGCACACCCTTCACAGGGTTCGTGACCCCATAGGAAGCTGCACCGAAGGCCCCAGTGGCACAACTTACATGCGCCCCCGCCATTTATTTCGGCACACCCCGCACACAGTTCTTGGCCACATAGGAAGCTCCACCGAGGGCCCCAGTGGTACAGTTTACATGGGCCCCGACACTCATTACGGCACACCCCTCACGCGGTTTAGAGCCCCATATGAAGCTCCACCGAAAGCCCCAGTGGTACAGTTTACATGCGCCCCCGCCACCCATTACGTCACACCCTTCACACGCTTCGTGGCCACATTGGAAGCTCCACCGAAGGCCCCAGTGGTACAGTGGTACAGTTTGCATGCGTCCCCGCCACCCATTACGGCACACCCCTCACGCGGCCCGTGGCCCCTTATGGAGCTCCACCGAAGGGCCCCAGTGGTACAGTTTACATGCGTCGTCCCCGTCACACACTACGGCACCTCCTTCACACGGGGCGTGGCTCCATGAGGAGCTCCACCGAAGGCCCCAGTGGTGCAGTTTACATGCGTCGTCCCCGCCACCCATTTCGGCACACCACTCACGCGCTTCGTGGCCCCACAGGGAGCTCCACCGAAGGCCCCAGTGTTACAGTTTACATGCGCCCCCGCCACCCATTACGGCACACCACTCACGCGATTTTTTGGCTCCATAGGGAGCCCCACCGAAGGGCCCCAGTGGCACAGTTTACATGCGCCCCCGCCATTTATTTCGGCACACCCCTCACAGACTTCGTGGCCCCATAGGGAGCTACACCCAATGCCCCTGAAGTACAGTTTACATGCGTCACCGCCACCCATTACGGCACACCACTCACGCGATTCGTGGCTCCATAGGGAGCCCTCCCGAAAGCCCCAGTCCCGTCTCTCCTCTTCTTACTCCTCCTCCTCCTCCTCCTCCTCCTCCTCCTCCTCCTCCTTTTCCTCCTCCTCCTCCTCCTCCTCCTCCTCCTCCTCCTCCTCCTCCTCCTCTTCCTCCTCTTTTCCCGAGGTGGCTCCCAGCGAGCCCCCCCCCCCCCTTCGCCCCCTGCAGCCACTTGCCCGCGGGCGGCGCGGGGGCATCAGGGACCCCCCCGCCCAAGGCGCTGCCTGGCCCGACGCAGCTGGGGCGGGCGCCGCCCGCCCTGCAGCTGCTGCCCTGGCACCTCCCCCGCGCGGGCGGGAGGCCCGCGGCAGGAGGTCGCGTCGCCCAGCTTGGCACAGGCGACTGCGCAGGCACCGAGCTGCCGCGCGCCGCAGACTACGGCTGGCCTCTGACGTGGCCCTCCTTCGTCGCCATCACGGGCCCCGCCCGCCGATGGGCCGTGGAGGCCGCGGCCGTGGGGCGACTGATGCACCCCGTGGTCGTGGTGGCCGTGGCGATCGTGGCGATCGCGATCGATGGACCTGCGCGGCAACGCGGCAGCGCGGGTTCGGCGAGAACTTCAGCACCAACGAGAGGTGCTACATGCGCGGGCGTGACCGCATTGGCCGCCCCGACCTTACGGGGGCCCACCCCCCAGGCCAGGCGCGCCGCAGTGCCTCAGCGGCGAGGCGCAGCGCAGCCCCCGAGGCTGCCGCAGCCTTTCCAGGAGCGGCCGCAGCCGAGGCCGATGACGTGGCCAAAGCAAGGAAGGCTGTGGCGGCCTTCAAGCGGCTATAGCTTGCTGAGTACAACGAGTTCATGGTCAGTGCTCGGCGCCAACTCGCCACCGCTGAGGAGCGCGAGCGCGCTGGGCGTGCTCCGGATGACATGCTGCGTCGCGCTCTGGACCGGCAGGCGACGAAGCAGAAGGAGCACGACGCCGCCTGCGCCGCCGTCGAGGAGCTCGAGCGGGACCTCCAGAGCCGTCGCCTGGAGGTGGCCGCGGCTAGGGCGGCGGCCATGGCAGCAGGCGCCGGCGGCTCTGGGCCAGGAGGCTTGGAGGAAGCGTTCGGCCGCCCGCGAGGCGCGGTGGCAGCAGCGCCTGAAGCAGTCTCGGCAGGCAACACCACCACGATGCTGGCGTCGCTCGCGACGCACCTCACAGAGCTGCAGCGCGCGCTCGCCGCCCACGCCAGAGTGGGCCCCGTGCAGGGCGCGTCGACGCCAGGAGCCAGTGAAGCCCTTGCCACGGGCGGCAGTGGTATTGGTTCTGATGTTGCACACCCTTGGGACGATCAGCTGGAGCAGGATGTTGCACGGGCCATGCCGCCTGCAAGTTCAGGCGACTCTGCGGGCATAATATGACGGCGCATTGCGCATGACCTACGCGCGGTTTGGCCTGGACATCGACCTCTCTGGTGATGGCGGCCGCGCTGCATTTCGATCATCAGAGACCTCTTCTATCGGTGCGATGTTGGCGACGCGTCGAGCTGAGGGCGATTCAGTTGGCGTTCCGCGAGCGCTGGTGGCACATGGTCAAGATTACAGTTATGTCTATTGTGCGTCACATAGAGATGTAGTAAGACCTGGCCTTTTCTAGGTGTTCCTCTCAACCTGGCGAAGTAGACTCTGGCTCCTACGACGGCAGGTCTCCCGCGGCGGCCGCGGGCCCTCCGAGAGCCACGGGCCTTTGGGCCGCTAGTGGCGCAGGGTTGGGAGAGCGCGGCGTTGCTGGTGGCGCAGCGCGGGCGGGTCCGCAATGGATCTGGGGGGGGGGGGGGGGTGCGTCGGCGTGGGCTGGGCGGGGGGCAGCTCTGCGAGCGCCCTGTAGCCCCGCCCCCGAGCCAGGGGCGGCCGCGCGACCGCTCCAGTTGTGATGATGATAGTTGTGCCTCGTCCATCGAGGCATTCTCAGCGGCGGGCGGCGATGGCCCACTCCGCATCCCCGTCGCGAAGCGCAGAGGGGGTCACTGGCAAGATGGCGGTCGCCCCACAGGCGCGCCTGGCTGACGTGGTCAAGTTCTCGCAGGGCATGGTGCGAGTCATCGCGAGCGCTCCGCTGACGGCGCACGTAGCGGGGCGGCCTCGGCCAGGGCAGGTGAAGCGCGTGGCGTAGTGTTTAGTCGAGTTGGGGACTGCCATCACAGCGCACGCGCGTCGGATCCGAACCTTGGGGGTGGCGTGGCTCGTGGCGTAGTGGTTAGTCACGTTGGGGGCTGCCAGATCGATCGACCAGGAACCCGGGAACCCCGGAGCCTCGCCGCCCTCCGAAATCGGCCCGGAAGCCTGAACCGGGAACCCGGAAACCCAGGACCGGGAACCCGGGAGCCCAGCCAGCAACCGAAATCGGCGGGAAAGGTTCGCCAAATCCTTCCCAACGTCCGCGAGGACCTTTTCAGTACAAGCATTGATTGGGGAATGGTGTGTATCCCTCCCATTACTATTGTCGTTGATTTTAAGGGCCTCCCAGATGGGCTCGACAAGGGCCGTAAATGGCGCGCAGCGCCTCGTAGGAACAACGTCGATCTCTGGGAGGTCATCTGGAGGAACGTTGAGGACCTCGGGGGCCTTGGAGCCAGTGCTACCGTGGAGCTGTGTAGGGGCCACCAGAAAGGACCTGGGGATACCGCCCGCGGGAACAGATGGGCCGACCCAGCGGCCACCCGCGGGCGGGGCCTCCATGCGGCCAGCAAAGATACATGTCAAACCGTGACGGTTGCCCGCAGCAGTCTCCTAGTCTGCCCCAAGTGGATGGCGCAGGCCTTTGCGTGTCTCGGGGCGTCGGGACAGACCAGTGCCAATCCTAGCGACAAGCGCCAAGTCCGCCCCGCACACAGACGAAGGGACAGTCCCGAGCCCGCTCACAAAGTAAGGCACGTCATGCGCCCCATACCCCGTAGGGATATCCAGCGGTGTAGGTTTTGTAGGGTCGGGGCCAAGACCACCGCCCAGGCTGATTGGCTTTCCCTTCGCTCTTGCTCTGCTCGCCTTCGGGTGTCGGAGAGCGCGCCTGCGCTCGTGTCTGTGCAGCCTCCTGGGTTGGCCGGGGTTGGCTCCAATCCTGGAGCCCCGCGTGGCATGTCCCAGGACGGCCCTTCCAGGTCATCTGGAAGCGCTGGCCCCTCGGCTCGGGAGGGGGCATCGCCGACGGATGCGCCTGTCTGGGGCGGCCAGGGGGATGGCGGCGGAGCGGGTGGCTTTGGGGATGAAGGCTGGTCAGGCTGAAGGAGGCACCAGTAGCCTCCATGCTGCTCCCCCTTCTCCTCCTCCTGACGTTGACGTCTCGGACCTTCGTAGTGTGGTTCGTCGCATCCGTCGCTCGGGCGACCCTGAGGATTCCGAGTGCGAGAGCGGTGGTCGGAGTGCCGAGGCTTTCGATATCGCCCAGCACGTGCGCTCTCCTGATCAGATGTTGCTTGATCGGGCCGCCTTAGTCATCGCGGTACCAGATCACGAAGGCCCTGCGTTCAGGCCCGACAAGCGTCGCATGACAGGCAGCAACGGCAGGAACTACAGACCTGCCCTTGGCGCCTGCACGCCCCGTGCCATAGCTTCCCACCTTTCCGCGGATCCGTCCCAGCGGAGGCTGCCAGAGGCCATCGGCTCTAGATGGCCCTGTCCCACGTCGCGTTGTGCGTTTCGTGCGGGCTCTGCACTGCGGGCACGGCAGGGGACCTACTATTAGACTGCTCCTTTGGCATGGTAGGCCATCGCTTCTCCGAGGGGGCGCAGAGGAATCGTCGCCAGTTGTTGGCCGGGTTTCATCCCGCGGATGAAGGGCGAGCGGATTCTCGGAGAATCTCCGCCGTTCGGCCCCCTTTGGGCTCGGACCCCGAGGCCCACTGGGCCAGGCTCTTGCAGAGCCGAAAGTTCGGGATCGAGGGGGGGGCGCAGCGCAGGAGGTGTGCACTTTACCTGATCTCACCTTGCCTGCTTCCTCCCTCTTTCCCCTTTGCCTTTAATTTCTGCCTGCGCCTCGCCCCGTGATTCTTCGGCGGAGTGCGGCGGTTGACAGGCACGAAGCTGTCACGTGCGATTGTTCCTTCTTCCGAGCGCGCCTGGCGCCCACCTGGAGCGCGGCGTCCGCCAGCTAGTGCCGTATTCTCCTTTTTCTGTTTCTTCCTCGCCCCCTTCTCCTACTCTTCACCCTCCTCCTCGTCCTCCTCCTCCTCCTCCTCCTCCCCTTCCGCCCCCTCCACCTCCTTCTTCTTCTCGTTCTCCTCCTCCTCCTCCTCAGTATCCTGTTCCTCCTCCTACGCTTCCTCCTCCTCCTCCTTTTCTTCCTCCTCCTCCTTTTCTTCCTCCTCCCCCTCGTCGTCCTCCTCATCCTCCTCCTCCTCCCACCTTCCTCCTCCCTCCTCCTCCTCCTCCTCCTCCTCCTCTTCCTCCTCCTCCTCCTCCTCTTTTTCCTCCTCCTCCGCCTCCGCCTCCGCCTCCGCCTCCGCCTCTTTGCTTCCTCCCCTTCCTCATCCTTCAGAAAGGGGGGGCGTGAGGGCGGGAATATGACGCCGCGCCCTCGCGCAGGCAACTATCTCAGACCATGTTGGCCGCCCCTCCCTGCTCCAGCTCCGTTCCCGCTGCCTCGCCGCGCACCGCTCCAGGTCGGCTTTGCAGGCCGCGCCAGACGCGACCATCCAGACGGTCCAGATGGGTGGGGGGCGAGGGGGGCGAGGTGCACTAGCCACCTTCATACTGGCCGCTGGGGCACACGGCCATGTGTGGATACGGCCGGACCGAGGCATAAGGGCGAGGTCGGCTCGGAGGGGGTACCTTGATGTTCTTCCTTCGCATTTGTTAGATGTTCTTATACATTCGGGGGGGGGGGGGGGCACCCTCGAACGTTTTTGTCCGTGTGGCGGGCGGATGGTCTCATGTGATTGAAGAATGTTATTCTGTCCTAGGTCCGACCGCAATGGGGGCGGCGAAAGTCGGGCAACGAGGCGCGCGCGGCATGTCGAGGTCTCGCGGCGCGGGTATTGGCATCCGCCCGTGGGGGATCCATCGAACCGCTCGTGGGGGCCCGCGGGGGGAGGGGAAGAGACTGGGAGGAGAGACGAGAGGGACAGCGCCCAGCACGTGAGGCGCGAGGACCAGACGGGGCGCAGCGGCAAGCCGCAGCGGCGGCGGCACGGTGGAGGGGAGAGCCGAAGCCAGTGAGGGCTGGGCCCAGGCAGGTGCAGGGAGAGCCAGCGCAGGGGCGCGTAGAACCGGCCTATCCTCGACTTGAGGTTTTTTCCGCCTCCCCGGAGTCGAAACTGTGTAGGTTTGTCCGCCTGCTGACCTAAGGGCAGACCTGCTATAATGTCCCTTGGGCGCGCGCCGAGGAACAAAAAAAAAAAAAAAAAACTAGCGGCAGCGCCCGCGGACGTGCGCGCGAGGGGGGCAGCGCAGCAGGAGGCCAGAGGGGCTAGCCGCTGCGAGCGTGGAGGGAGCAGTGAGGCCCCCCCCCCCCGCCCCCCCGCAGGGGAGGGAGGAAGGAGAGCGGAGCAGGAAACACGCACACCACATACCTTGGTATCGCTCGGACGTGTGCAACTTTTTCTCGGCGGGGATCACTGAGGAACATCCTGGATCCTCCCGCGAAAAAAACACACGCACGAGACCGACAAAAAACACACAGGGAATGGACGTCCGAGCGATGGCCAGATACGCCCTGAGGGCTGGTCAGATTCCCGGAGCCCGCCCCGTGAGGGCCGCTGCGCTCATCCTTGTCCAATCGCGCAGTTCGGCACCCGATGTTTGATGGCGCATGTCAGTGTAAGGAGGCAGGCTCCTGCCCCAGGGCGTTCAAACACCAGCTTGGCGAATGGCCCAACCCCGTGCAGCTTCGCGTAGCGCAGGGCGTGACCTTGATAGTCGTTGCGCGCCGCAGGGCAGTGTGGATGGGCGGCTGCGGAGCCAGTGCTTAGGAACAGGCTGGACTCCCTGCGGGGCGCGATATCCGCGTGAGAAGTGTGCCAAAACGAGGGCAGGGACGCCATGTGGACATCCCACCTATCCATACGGGGCAGGATCTGCGTGATAGTTATGCCGATGTGATTCAGGAGGGGAAAAAACACACAGACACAATGAATCGACGATTTCCCAGAAAAGATGGGAAAATATGGGAAGTGGGGGGGAAGACAGAAACCCAGAAAATATGGGAAAATATTGGGAATCGGGTTATTAGTGTGTATTCATTTGTGTATCCAAGGGCCCCTTCAGTGATCGCCAGGACGCCACGTGAACACATCCATTGGGGCCATGGGTGGAGCCACGATCCACGCGAGGGGTGCGCGGAAGTGGGCGCGGGCACGCCATGCGGACACCCCCAGTGGGGCCATAGTTGGAGCTCCCTATTCGGCGCGATCCGCGTGAGGGTCGCGACGAAATCGGCTGCGTGGACGCCAACTGGATGATCTCAAGGTGCAGTGGAGGTTTTCAGTTGAGATGCGGAGGCTGAGGGGGAGAGGGAAGCGACTCAACAGCACAGGAGGGTTGGGAGCTACTCGGGACGAACAGCCTGCCCACGGCAAGAGCTTGAGAGGGGTCAGCGGCTCGGGCCAGGGTAAAGGCGCGGTCATGTGTTTTCCACGCCTCTGCCCAGGGGATCGGCAAGTCCCGCGCCAGGCTTTACGAGGTGTCACCTTCAGGCTTGATGTTTGCCAACCATCCCCTGGTTGGGTTCTCATTTTGGATAGAGCACTGCTTGCGCGAAATGCGTCCTCCTCCCCCCTCCCTCCTGCCTCCTACCTCATGTCTCCTACATCTTGCGTTCGCGGCTCCTTGAGGGGCTACGAGCTGCGCAAGTGTCGTTCTTCATCCCTCTCGAGGGTCCCTGGGGGGCTGCGAACTACGCAATTGTCGCCACTTTCGCGGGCTCCTGGGATCCCATCGGAGTATAACCCTGTGCTGCCGAGATTAATCCCACAGGGATAAAGTTCGGGGTCGCGGGGGGATTATAAATGTTGCCTACCGGAGGCCAGCATGTGGGAGGAGAAAGAGATGATGTTAAGAGGACCGAAAACCGAGGATCGAGGATCGAGAATCGAAGTCCGAGGATCGAGGATCGAGATCCCAGAAGTAGAGAAAGATAGACAGACAGAAGGAGAGAGGTGGAGGAGGAGGAGGAGGAGGAGGAGAAACACCAAAGTTCCAAACCTATAAGATTTAATGTGTAAGCGGACAATGGAAATTCAGATTTTCATCTGCTCGTGTAGGGTAGCTCACGTGCCTCGGTTTCGCGGATAGTAAACCACAGCGATAAAACAGTTCAGGGGAGCAGGGGGGAGGGAACGGGAAGAGAAAGAGAAGAGCAGGCAGAAAAGAGAGAGAGAGAGAGAGACAGAGATAAAGAGAACGTTGTTGGTTTCGTTTGAGACATCCTCGATAACGTCTTCGCTTCGCTTGACGTTGCTATCTCAACATAAGAAGGAAGTTAACCTCGATGGTGAAATTTTCACAGTGATAAAAAAGTTCGGCCTCCGCGCCCCGCGCCCCTGACCAAACTCTTCTTGGCCGTGGATAATCAACTCTAGCGTGGAAAGGGGGGGGGGTCCTTTCTTATCATCGGCACAAGGTTAGTTGCACGCAGACCCAATCGAGACCTCGCGAATTGCGCAACGGTCGCCACCTCCGAGGCCTCTTGGGAGGCCACCTTCGTGAGCTCTTGGGAGGTCCAGCGGAGCGGAGTTACACGTAGAGCCAGCCGAGACCTCGCCGCTCCCTTTGGGGCTGCGAATTGCGCAGCGGTCGCCGTCTTCGTTGGCACCCGGGTTGCGTCTTGCGCAGATCAGACTTTGGCCACATAGTCTCTCGGGCCTGCGACCCGTGAAAGTGTCGCAGCTCGCAGAGCGCAGCGCGATGGGGCGCTGTCTTGTGTCCATGCCGCATCCTCTCTTCAGCTGCCTCTTGAAGGCAATGCACTCGCGCATGTGTGTTAAACTCAGGGGCCCCGCCTTCCTGTGCCCTGTCTCCCTAGTTGAAGCTGTGCGTAGCCCGCCTAGCTTTTAGCGGAAGAGGTTCGCTCTCGTCCCGCAGACCAAAAGTGTGTTACATTCAGGGCGCTCTTGTGGAGCAGCGCGCGGGTCATTTGTCCAGTTCTCCCCATTCCGTATGTTTCTACACGTTTCGTGCTGCCTGTTCCGTTTGCTCGTGGTCGCTTCTTGCCAATGGTTCAAGTCGCATGGTTGTTGCCGCGTGCGAGAAGCATTTGACTGTGGATCGTCGTTCTCTGTTGAGACGGGGGTACGGTGTGTCGTTCAACCTTTGCTTTTGCATTGGGCGGTCCTAAGTCTAGTCGCCCCACGTGTGCAAAGGTTTGGGCACGTCCCCTGGCAAGACTCGCGCTGATCCACGCCCTCGCGGTCTGGGTTCCAGGGCGCGACCCCGCGGATGCATCGGATGCATCCCGCGCGGGGCATGGCGAAACATCGCCCCGTCTCCGCGGGGCCGCGGCCCAGGGGTCCGGCCCGCGAGGCTGCGGAGACGCTTTTCGCCCACGAGGGGGGTCGATCCTCGGGGATGCGGCAGGAGGTGGGTGTGGATGCACAGCCGAAGCCGATGAGAAGGACCGTGAGTACCCTCGCATCCCTTGCCTCCTCGGCTCATCCAGGGTGCCGGCAGGAGGTGGATGTGGATGTGCAGTCGAAGCCGATGAGAAGGGCCATTCGTACCCTCGCATCCCTTGCCTCCTCGGCTCATCCAGGGTGCCGCGTTCGCTCCTTCGCGCGCCGCCCTCTGTGCTGCCGCGCGTGCACGGTGCTGCGGCCGCGCTGCCCGCCCCCGGCGCAGAGGTCCTGCGGCTCTACCACGGCGCGCCCTGAGAGCAGTCGAGGCCCCGCCCCGCGCCCTCTCGAGGAGGGAGGAGGG